TGTGGAAGCAACCAGACTGGAACATGTCGACCAACTGATGTCCTCAGCTACTCTGTTGATGTACCCTCGGCTTCCATTGGATCGCCGCCCAGCCTGACGTGCAGGACAAAACTACCTTCCGTCAATTGCTCCAGCCAAATGTCAACTCCCAAATCCACATCTGTCACATATGTCCTCTGGCCCTCCACAGTCAGCCTTGTGCGTTTCCGGCCACACTGTGTCCTTGAAGTACCGCCTTCCTTATAGCAGCCATAACTGGCGGATGATTCTTAGACGGTACCGACATTCTGGCGTCCCAGATGTCTCCACTAGCTTGCTTCCAAACACCCATATTCATTCACACTTCCCTTGCCCCCATACTCTGAGTGAGATTTTCTAATTTATTCACTCCTACACTTTGAGTCACAACAATGGCCTTCTTAAAAATAAATGATGCCTTACAAACCTGTTCAAATTTTTGGAAATGGTACCAAGCTAATCAGACAAGGACTTCCAGTATATGTAGAATACATGGACTTTGCTAAAGCTTTTGATAAGGTGTTACATGAAAGACTGACAAGGAAAGTACAAGCACATGGAATATATGGTAGAATACTAGAATGGATCAAACAATGATTAAAACAAAGAAAGCAAAGAGTCGTCCCAAACGGAAATAACTCTGACTGGAGCAATGGGTGAGTGGGGTACCGCAAGGTTCCATTTTGGGGCTAACCCTTTTTGTCATATACATCAATGACATAAAATAGAATATTACAAACCATATCATCAAAATTGAAGATGACGCTAAGATTTATGGTAAAGTATGGAGTGACCATAATATTGAGGCCTTACAAAGCAATCTACATGAACTCCACAAGTGTCAGACGATTTGCAGATGCTCTTTAATATCGAAAAATGCAAAGACCTTGCATGTGGGGCATAACATTGCATATCACTACTACCAGAGCAACAATATTACCTTGCAAGGGTTAATGAAGATGGACCTGGGAGTCAGAATTCCACAAATCAGTAAAAGTTGGTCAACAAGTTGGAGCTGCAGTAAAAGAAGCCATCAATATCCTAGGAATAGTCAGACGTAATTTTGATTTCAGGGAAAATAGAGTAGCTATTCAACAGTATAGATATCTGATGCTTGTATTATTGTATCCAGGAATGAAGACCTCAGCTTCAGAAAGGCATATCTGCTTAAGAAAAAGTTCAACACCGGGCGAGAAAAATCATTCTTGAACTAAGTGGGCTCCCATCGAGGAATAGTTGAGGGTTTACAGGGCTAACAACACTGCAAACGAGACATAACAAGACTGATATATCAAAACTTAAAATATTGAAGAATTTGTTGATCCAGACCACTTCTTCATAAGGTAAGATGTAATTCAAAGAAGGAGCAACGGTTTTAAGTTCAACAAGACACAATGTAGGACAGAAAGTAGGTGATGCTTTTATTATAAACCCATGGAAACACCTACCCGCCGAAGCTATATGTGTCAAAAGACTGCTGCAATATAAGATCGAAATACATAAAATCATCAGGACAAATGGGGGGGGGGGCACTATCGAGAGATAGAGGCCCTCAGGTAAATTTGGTTAAATATGAACACGTTGGACTGGACGACGTGAGAATAGCTTGAGCTGCTTCAACTCTTTGTGTGTAAATAATATCTCAATAAATTTATTTCAATTTCAAATCAAGAAATACATTTTGAAACAAATTAATTTCAATTTTAAAACATTAGTGTCCAAATGTAAATAGATCTGACAGAGAACTGAAGGAAGGTCAGGTTCAGTCTCGTGTCCTGTATACAGCACTGTTGTATAGTGCAGAATACTTATCTCTGAAAGTATTACATGTAATACAGGCCCAGAGGAATCTTCCATGACGTTCATTACTCTCGCGTAATTTTATAATTTCATCCCAAAAAACATAAAACTTTTTTCTTTAGAGGTAATCATAAATCCTTTGATTGTATAATAATTGTTTTGTCTTTAATCCTGTTAATAGTATAATAGTCAGAACACTTGTTCTTGGTCTGGTCTGGGACAGGCAGCCATCTCTGGGACACCCAGCATCTTGCCACAGAGTATCCCAGTCATCTCTGGGACACCCAGCATCTTGCCACAGAGTATCCCAGCCATCTCTGGGACACCCAGCATCCTGATACAGAGTATCCCAGCTATCTCTGGGACACCCAGCATCTTGCCACAGAGTATCCCAGCCATCTCTGGGACACCCAGCATCTTGCCACAGAGTATCCAAGCCATCTCTGGGACACCCAGCATCTTGCCACAGAGTATCCCAATAATAGATGTAATTTGGAATTAATTAACGTGACAATTCCAACCTGGCATACTTTTTTTATTTATTTTTTAGAAGGATTCTCTCTCCCTTCCTTAACTAGCACTGAGATAACAAATGCAAAAAAGTAATTGAAACTGTTTTGATAGATATTACATTGAAGATTTTTGTTGACAGTTGCAATAATTGATATATGAATATTATCAAGTTTTCTATTAAACAGACACTCAAAGTTTCTCCAGGTCAGCAATAGTGACTTTCTCCCAGTTTGAATGTTTTAAGGTTGGTTACTGTTCTCACTGTCAGCAGCAACAGTTGCCAACGCTGTCAACAACAACACTATACCTCACAGTACAGTGAGGTATAGTGAAAGTGACTATGACAGGAAAATGTCAGGAAAGGTTGTCACAATCACTGAGTCTTATACCCTCAGATGTAACCAGTTAGGTCATCATCAATGAGAGAATTATCAAAATGAGACTTTGGTCTCCAGTCATTTAAAGGAAAGTCAAAATAATATTAAACTTAGCATAGACAGTATTGACCAGCATATGCAAATGTTTTGTTAAATTTTAAAATCCTAAGTCTTCTTGTAACGATTTTAAGTTTTCTTAATTTATTAGGAAAATTAAATTATTTTTTATGTGCATGGTTTATATACGGTAAACAAGACAGGTCTCAGGCCAGAGTCCTGAGGACCATTGACAACTATGGTAATGTTGCACTTGAGTGTTGTATCTACATGGTTTATATATACGGTAAACAAGACAGGTCTCAGGCCAGAGTCCTGAGGACCATTGGCAACGTTTACCACTGGGATTTGGCTTACTCTGTTTCTGTTGAAAAAGTCATATCATATACCACTAGCAAGTTAATACCTCCAAACAATAGGCCTCAGAGAATGAGTGAAAATAAAAGTGTTTATATTGTTTAAACTTATTTGTTACTTTATTTCCGATAATGCATGTATTTACTTTAATACTTGCAGTACTGAACTATAAAAAGCGTAGTACAGTACTACTTACACTATCAAAGGAGGTGTACAGTTTAGTTCAATTATTATGCACCCCATACCCATCTTGTGGGCGGTAGTGGAAAGGGTTACAGAGGCACATAATGGGCTCAGGGACTGAACCCCACAATTCATTTAGCTAAGCACGATACAATCTTGATGAGCTAGTTACAAAATTCAGTATAAGTCGTCACATTAACAATGGGTTCGAGATCGACCACAAGTACAGTTTCTAAATTAAGCAACTGACATATGTGGAGAGCTAGTGCCACAATTGATATGTTTGTCCTGCACACCGCCCCCCATCCAGTGGGCAGCGGTGGATAGGTTACAATAACTTTTAGTTACTACCTACAGTTTGCAAACTGGGGATATTTGGCCAAAATCTCTGGCAGCAGATCATTTTGATTGAAACATTTACTCATCTTTAGAACATTTTTATAGAATTGTCTCTGAATTCACGTATCTTTTCGCACTCAATCACATAGTGACGGAGGGTGAGCGAATAATTTTGTTGACACAGTTTACATTTGGTCAGGTCTACATCAGCAGATAATGAGAATTCCAAGAGATACTTATAATCGAGTCTAAACCGAGCAGTAGTAACATTTAGAAGTCTGCTGATTTTATTGTATGAGCCATAGATGTGTGGCTCCTCTTGCATGATAGTATGATGATAGATGGAATTACTGGTGTCGATTTCACTTTGCTTCAGATCTACAAGATTTTGTTGAAGTTCTTGGTGTACTATTGCTCTACGACTTCTCATTGACAATCCAAGGTTATACTCAATTTCTCCTTTAAAGACAATTCTTGGTAGTTTCTTTTCTAAAGAAATTGTACATTTAAGTGAGCAGGACACTTACTGTATTAAACTACTTGAACAGTATACTGCATACTATATTAAAGTACTTGTACAGTACGCTACTTACTGTAATAAAGAAAGTTCCTAAAAAGGCTAGCTACTGTAGTAGAACAAGTTTACAATCGGATACTTATAATATTAAAGTACATATACAATAAACTGCTTAATGCATTATAGTAAGTTACAGTCGGCAACTTACTGTATTAAGTTGTACATTAAGCAACTTACAATAACACAGGTGTATATATGCTCCTGCTTGATCTTGAGGATAATAAGGATAAGACAGACTAAAAGTGAGACAGAAATTCTCAATGCCTAAAATTCCTAAAATGTCAAAATAACTAAAATCCCTTAAAAAATAAACAGCTAAAACTAATAATATTGATCCAATAAACAATAGTAAAGAAAATCATATCGATATAAAGTGTAGAAAATGCTAATATATAAATTACATGCCAAAACTTATTCATAAAATCAGTATATCAAAATCAGTTATTCATGCAATATGCATTTCTAAACGTATTAATAAAATCTGCATACAAATGCTTATTTATACCTCCAGCATACTAAAATACATTCATACAATGCATACAAAAACTCAATCATACCATCAGCATAAAAAAAATCATTCATACGTCCAGCATACCAAAACTCATTCATACCACCAGTATACTAAAACTCACTCATACCACCAGCATACCAAAACTCATTCATACGTCCAGCATACCAAAACTCATTCATACCACCAGCATACCAAAACTCATTCATACCAAAACTCTCAGCAACAACCAGCTCCTCGTAGATGTGACCTTGTACATTATTGGTCTCGTGAGGCTGGTCTCAACAACCAGCTCCTCGTAGATGTGTCCTTGTACATTATTGGTCTCGTGAGGCTGGTCTCAACAACCAGCTCCTCGTAGATGTGTCCTTGTACATTATTGGTCTCGGGAGGCTGGTCCTCAACAATCTACCGTATAGAAACAATAATAAAATTGTTAAGCGACGCACCGAGCTCTTGGAGGTACTTCTTGTTCTCCTCACTGTCCCTGATCTCAATACAAAGGCCATCACCAGTGACGCCCCTCCGGTGAAGTCCTCGCAGGAGTCTCTCCCCACCCACACCTGTAGATGAGAGGGAACATTGAAGCCCACACCTGGCTACTCTCCCCACCCACACCTGCAGATGAGAGGGAACATTGCAGCTCACACCTGGCAACTCTCCCCTCCCACACCTGTAGATGAGAGGGAACATTGCAGCCGACACCTGGCTACTCCCCACATCCACACCTGCAGATGAGAGGGAACTCTGAAGCCCACACCTGGCCACTCTCCACACCCACACCTGCAGATGAGAGGGAACTCTGAAGCCCACACCTGGCAACTCTCCCCACCCACACCTACAGATGATAGGGAACTCTGAAGCCCACACCTGGCAACTCTCCCCACCCACACCTGCAGATGAAAGGGAACACTGAAGCCCACACCTGGCTACACCTCACACCCATCTCTTAAGGAGGAGGAGGAGGAGGGTAGTGGTGCAGAGGAGGAGGGTAGTGGTGCAGAGGAGGAGGGTAGTGGTGCGGAGGAGGAGGAGGAGGGTAGTGGTGCAGAGTAGGAGGAGGGTAGTGGTGCAGAGGAGGAGGAGGGTAGTGGTGCAGAGGAGAAGGAGGGTAGTGGTGCAGAGGAGGAGGAGGGTAGTGGTGCAGAGGAGGAGGAGGGTAGTGGTGCAGAGGAGAAGGAGGGTAGTGGTGCAGAGGAGGAGGAGGGTTGTGGTGCAGAGGAGGAGGAGGGTAGTGATGCAGAGTAGGAGGAGGGTAGTGGTGCAGAGGAGTAGGAAGGTAGTGGTAGAGAGAAAGATGGTAGTGGTGCAGAGGAGGAGGCGGGTTGTGGTGCAGAGGAGGAGGAGGGTAGTGGTGCAGAGGAGGAGGAGGAGGGTAGTGCTGCAGAGGAGGAGGATAGTGGTGCAGAGGAGGAGGAGGGTAGTGGTGCAGAGGAGGAGGGTAGTGGTTCAGAGGAGGAGGAGGGTAATGGTGCACAGGAGGAGGGTAGTGGTGCAGAGGAGGAGGGTAGTGGTGCAGAGAAAGAGGAGGGTTGTGGTGCAGAGGAGGAGGAGGGTAGAGGTGCAGAGGAGGAGGAGGAGGGTAGTGGTGCAGAAGAGGAGGGTAGTGGTGCAGAGGAGGAGGAGGGTAGTGGTGTAGAGGAGGAGGGTAGTGGTGTAGAGGAGGAGGAGGGTAGTGGTGCACAGGAGGAGGGTAGTGGTGCAGAGGAGGAGGGTAGTGGTGCAGAGAAAGAGGAGGGTTGTGGTGCAGAGGAGGAGGAGGGTAGTGGTGCAGAGGAGGAGGAGGAGGGTAGTGGTGCAGAAGAGGAGGGTAGTGGTGCAGAGGAGGAGGGTAGTGGTGTAGATAAGGAAGAGGGTAGTGGTGCAGAGGAGGAGGAGGGTAGCGGTGCAGAAGAGGAGGAGGGTAGTGGTGCAGAGGAGGAGGAGGTTGAGGAGGGTAGTGGTGCAGAGGAGGAGGAGGAGGGTGGTGGTTCAAAGGAGGATGAGGGTAGTGGTGCAGAGGAGGAGGGTAGTGGTGCCGAGGAGGGGGTAGTGGTGCAGAGGAGGAAGGAAGTGATGCAGAGAAGGAGGATGAGAGTAGTGGTGCAGAAGAGGAGGATGAGGGTAGTGGTGCAGAGGAGGAGGAGGGTAGTGGTGCAGAGGAGGAGGAGGGTAGTGGTTCAGAGGAGAAGGGTAGTGATGCAGAGGAAGAGGAGGGTAGTTGTGCAGAGGAGGAGAAGGGTAGTGTTGCAGAGGAGGAGGATAGTGGTGCAGAGTAAGAGGAGGGTAGTGGTGCAGAGGAGGAGGAGGGTGGTGGTGCAGAGGAGGAGGGTAGTGGTGCAGAGGAGGAGGGTAGTGGTGCAGAGGAGGAGGAGGGTAGTGGTGCAGAGGAGGAGGAGGGTAGTGGTCCAGAGTAGGGTAGTGGTGCTGAGGAGAAGGAGAGTAGAGGTGCAGTATGGGAGGAGGGTAGTGGTGCAGAGGAGGAGGAGGGTAGTGTTGCAGAGGAGGAGGGTAGTGGTGCAGAGGAAGAGGAGGGTAGTGGTGCAGAGGAGGAGGAGGGTAGTGTTGCAGAGGAGGAGGGTAGTGGTGCAGAGGAGGAGGAGGGTAGTTGTGCAGAGGAGGAGGAGGGTAGTGGTGCAGAAGAAGAGGAGGGTAGTGGTGCAGAGGAGGACGAGGGTGGTGGTGCAGAGGAGGAGGGTAGTGGTGCAGAGGAGGAGGAGGGTAGTGGTGCAGAGGAGGAGGAGGGTAGTGGTCCAGAGTAGGGTAGTGGTGCTGAGGAGAAGGAGAGTAGAGGTGCAGTATGGGAGGAGGGTAGTGGTGCAGAGGAGGAGGAGGGTAGTGTTGCAGAGGAGGAGGGTAGTGGTGCAGAGGAGGAGGAGGGTAGTGGTGCAGAGGAGGAGGAGGGTAGTGGTGCAGAGGAGGAGGAGGGTAGTGGTGCAGAGGAGGAGGAGGGTAGTGGTGCAGAGGAGGAGGAGGGTAGTGGTCCAGAGTAGGGTAGTGGTGCAGAGAAGGAGGAGGGTAGTGTTGCAGAGGAGGAGGGTAGTGGTGCAGAGGAAGAGGAGGGTAGTTGTGCAGAGGAGGAGGAGGGTAGTGTTGCAGAGGAGGAGGGTAGTGGTGCAGAGGAAGAGGAGGGTAGTTGTGCAGAGGAGGAGGAGGGTAGTGTTGCAGAGGAGGAGGGTAGTGGTGCAGAGGATGAGGAGGGTAGTGGTGCAGAGGAGGAGGAGGGTAGTGTTGCAGAGGAGGAGGGTAGTGGTGCAGAGGAGGAGGAGGGTAGTGGTGCAGAGGAGGAGGGTAGTGGTGCAGAGAAGGATGAGAGTAGTGGTGCAGAGGAGGAGCGTAGTGGTGCAGAGTGGGAGGGTAGTGGTGCTGAGGAGGAAGAGGAGGGTAGTGGCGCAAAGGAAGAGGAGGGTAGTGGTACAGAGGAGGATGACGATAGTGGATCAGAGGAGGAGGCTAGTGGTGCAGAGAAGGAGGAGGGTAGTGGTGCAAAGGAGGATGAGGGTAGTGGTGCAGAGGAGGAGGAGGGTAGTGTTGCAGAGGAGGAGGGTAGTGGTGCAGAGGAGGAGGAGGGTAGTTGTGCAGAGGAGGAGGAGGGTAGTGGTGCAGAAGAAGAGGAGGGTAGTGGTGCAGAGGAGGACGAGGGTGGTGGTGCAGAGGAGGAGGGTAGTGGTGCAGAGGAGGAGGAGGATAGTGGTGCAGAGGAGGAGGAGGGTAGTGGTCCAGAGTAGGGTAGTGGTGCTGAGGAGAAGGAGAGTAGAGGTGCAGTATGGGAGGAGGGTAGTGGTGCAGAGGAGGAGGAGGGTAGTGTTGCAGAGGAGGAGGGTAGTGGTGCAGAGGAGGAGGAGGGTAGTGGTGCAGAGGAGGAGGAAGGTAGTGGTGCAGAGGAGGAGGAGGGTAGTGGTGCAGAGGAGGAGGAGGGTAGTGGTCCAGAGTAGGGTAGTGGTGCAGAGGAGGAGGAGGGTAGTGTTGCAGAGGAGGAGGGTAGTGGTGCAGAGGAAGAGGAGGGTAGTTGTGCAGAGGAGGAGGAGGGTAGTGTTGCAGAGGAGGAGGGTAGTGGTGCAGAGGAAGAGGAGGGTAGTTGTGCAGAGGAGGAGGAGGGTAGTGTTGCAGAGGAGGAGGGTAGTGGTGCAGAGGAAGAGGAGGGTAGTGGTGCAGAGGAGGAGGAGGGTAGTGTTGCAGAGGAGGAGGGTAGTGGTGCAGAGGAGGAGGAGGGTAGTGGTGCAGAGGAGGAGGGTAGTGGTGCAGAGAAGGATGAGAGTAGTGGTGCAGAGGAGGAGCGTAGTGGTGCAGAGTGGGAGGGTAGTGGTGCTGAGGAGGAAGAGGAGGGTAGTGGCGCAAAGGAAGAGGAGGGTAGTGGTACAGAGGAGGATGACGATAGTGGATCAGAGGAGGAGGCTAGTGGTGCAGAGAAGGAGGAGGGTAGTGGTGCAAAGGAGGATGAGGGTAGTGGTGTAGTGGTGCAGAGGAGGAGGCTAGTGGTGCAGAGGAGGAGGAGGTGTAGTGTTGCAGAGGAGGATGAGGGTAGTGGTGCAGAGGAGGAGAGGGTAGTGGGTGGCAGAGGAGGAGGAGGGTAGTGGTGCAGAGGAGGAAGGAGGGTAGTGTGGTGGCAGAGGAGGAGGAGGGTAGTGGTGCAGAGGAGGAGGAGGGTAGTGGTGCAGAGGAGGAGGAGGGTAGTGGAGTGCAGAGTGGAGGAGGAGGGTAGTGGTGCAGAGGAGGGTAGTGGTGCAGAGGAGGAGGAGGGTAGTGTTGCAGAGGAGGAGGGGTAGTGGTGCAGAGGAGGAGGGTAGGTTAGTGTTGCAGAGGAGGAGGAGGGTAGTGTTGCAGAGGAGGAGGGTAGTGGTGCAGAGGAAGAGGAGGGTAGTTGTGCAGAGGAGGAGGAGGGTAGTGTTGCAGAGGAGGAGGGTAGTGGTGCAGAGGAAGAGGAGGGTAGTGGTGCAGAGGAGGAGGAGGGTAGTGTTGCAGAGGAGGAGGGTAGTGGTGCAGAGGAGGAGGAGGGTAGTGGTGCAGAGGAGGAGGGTAGTGGTGCAGAGAAGGATGAGAGTAGTGGTGCAGAGGAGGAGCGTAGTGGTGCAGAGTGGGAGGGTAGTGGTGCTGAGGAGGAAGAGGAGGGTAGTGGCGCAAAGGAAGAGGAGGGTAGTGGTACAGAGGAGGATGACGATAGTGGATCAGAGGAGGAGGCTAGTGGTGCAGAGAAGGAGGAGGTAGTGGTGCAAAGGAGGATGAGGGTAGTGGTGCAGAGGAGGAGGAGGGTAGTGTTGCAGAGGAGGAGGGTAGTGGTGCAGAGGAGGAGGAGGGTAGTTGTGCAGAGGAGGAGGAGGGTAGTGGTGCAGAAGAAGAGGAGGGTAGTGGTGCAGAGGAGGACGAGGGTGGTGGTGCAGAGGAGGAGGGGTAGTGGTGCAGAGGAGGAGGAGGATAGTGGTGCAGAGGAGGAGGAGGGTAGTGGTCCAGAGTAGGGTAGTGGTGCTGAGGAGAAGGAGAGTAGAGGTGCAGTATGGGAGGAGGGTAGTGGTGCAGAGGAGGAGGAGGGTAGTGTTGCAGAGGAGGAGGGTAGTGGTGCAGAGGAGGAGGAGGGTAGTGGTGCAGA